TTAATTGATTAATAATTATATTTTTTATTGAATATTATAATAGTTAATATTAAAATTAGTAATTATATTTTATACTAAAAAATATATGAAAGTTACATAAAATTATATTTTACACTAAAATCAATTTTTTTTATATGATGAAGTGGTTGTTTATTAATAAATTAATTTTTTTTTATGTCATAGTAAAATTTCTTAAAATCACATAAGCAATTGTTATAATAAATGTAATATTTTTCAGCTAATTAATTGGTCATGATCACTCAAAATTATAAAAAGTATATATTTATTACATTTTATGCAATCAATATAGTGATTCTTATATAATCAAATCGTGTGTACTAACCAATGATCAAATTTTAAAATATAATATTATTATATAATTTATAATTTTAATATTATATACATAAATATAACTTATAATACTATATGTTTGAAATATAATACAATTATATAACTTATAATTTTTATATTATATACATAAATATAACTTATAATATTTAATTTTATTTACATTTGTGCAAATGCACAGAGTCGAATACTAGTTTAGAAATTAATTTCAAAATTTCATCCCAATTTTAGTTTTATTTGGTTCTTAAGTTTTGTACTATTTTGTTGCTTATAAATTAAATGGATACACTTGAGATCTTCATTTTTATGATTAAATAAAGTAAGTAATAATAATGATAAAATAAGTCTGACACTACAAAAAAAATTGTTATATTTTAACGGAAAATCCTATGGTAAGATATTCCAATGAAAATTTCATCAAATATTCCAATGGTATAGCTTCCGTTGGAATGATTCCAACGGAAATTTCAATGAAAATATTCCGTTGGAATGTGTTTTTCATTGTAATTTTAGATGGAATTTGATGATTCCAACGGCTTTTGACCATAGGAATTTCCGTTGGCATATGCAATTTCCATTGGAATTTTTATTTCTACCATCGTTGGAATCGTCAATATCCAACGGAAATTCCAATAGAAAACTCATTCAAACGGAATATTTTTGTTGGAATTTCCTTTGGAATTATTCCAACGGAAATAATAGCATTGAAATATCCATTGGAATTGCTGTTGGAATTCTATATTGGAATATATTTCCGTTGAAATTTCATCATTTTTTTGTAGTGTGATGACACAAAATAAAAATAAAATATTCACAATGTTATAATTAGATTGAAAGTGAAACTTATTTTAATAATCAAAGTACCTGAAAAATAAAAGGCTATTATCGTAAATATACATAGTCTAATAATTTAGGACAAAACAATTAAAGAAGTATCTTTTAAGAATAAAATGAGTGGAGAATGTGGATTATTGTCCAACACAATGGACGGCTATCCTAAACGGCTGTGACTGCTGAGGTTCCTTTGAATAAATATTCCAATTTCCATGTAATTATGTTCTTATTATTATGATTATTATTTTTCCTTCATACCTACGAAGATTACTGTACAAGTAGCCTGTGATTTAATTTGTGGTGTCTGATTGCTCACACTCGTTACCCATATTGGCCCATCTTTCATGCCTGAAGAATGTGACGACGGATTATTGTTCGATTGAAGTGTGATATTCAATGTTAACATTATTAATTGAGAGATACTAATAAGAAGAAACGGAAATAATAAATGGTTTTTTGACTCCCGTTGGAGTTTGGGACCCGGCTTACAGTTTTCACTGCCTTCGACTCCAATGTAGCATGTCGATTTTGGAAATTTAACACACACCCGTGTAGGAACGAATGATCCAATTATGACAATCCAATAAAGACACTGTACAATCTACCGTAGATCGTGGGAATTAGTAAAGACATGGGTTATATGTTGGTTGACTAATATCACGTCGTGTTGGTTATTTATCATGTCGCATTGGATATTATTATGTTGTTGATATCCGACTTGATTACATAATTAAAGGTAGAGATTAATCGCTCCATTGAAGAAATAATTCTCCAGAAGAAGACAAACTTAGGACAAGTCGGTATTCATTGAATTAATTACCGACTTCCAAGACCGTCAAAAGTACCGACTATTGAAGCAGACACAAATAAACCGACTTCAGTTCATCCGATATTATGATAAGTCGAATCAAACCTTATCTGTTTAAATCAACGGCATAAAAGTTCGAATATCCAAGCAGAAAACAGAGTTGTAAGCATGTGATTGGATCGTCAAAATAATATAGCAATCATTGATGTTCCCTGATTTTGAAGCACATCACTTTGTTGAAGCTGCTCAACATTAAATACATTCTTATCCATCTCGAGCAAGAAGACAAAAACCACCGTACTATAAATAGCAGAATTTATGATAGTACGAGGATCCTTTTCCAACACATTGTACATGGACTTAAGATGATCTCGGTCAAAAATCAAAAAACCGACTCCTGTACTTGTGAATATATCAAATAAAATCGAATTTTACTTTAATCTTTGTTTAAACACACTCAGTTGTTTGTAATTTTAAGTTGTTAATTTCATACAACAACATATGTGTTGAAACATCACTTGTGGGTTGTATTACATTGATTCTATACGAAAAACGAGTTTAGTTTATATGTCTACTGGGCTACTCCTTCTACCACCAATTGATTTTGAGATGTGTGACATTGAATTTTATGAAAAAACATAAAAATTATATATAACTAGGTTTTACTTTAATCAAACAATATTGCAGGTAGAATATCTATATGAATCCTCTGATTCTTCTGTTTCGTGACTTCAATTTGATCTTCAAATGAATTTGACAATTGGATCTTCTTTAGTTTTAAATTTGAATTTCTGTAACATTAATTTGGAGGTCGAATGACTTATTCTCTATTAAATTGTAGGACTTGATTTGATTGGAGATGACTTCCTAGACGACTTGCTTCTTCGATCTTCCTAGAAGTTCTGACTTGTTAATATTCCATGGTGTCGATTATTATTGTACTATTTCTTCCCTTACGTAAAAATAATTATTACTTTTTATATATCAACATTTAATATTATAAAATTATTAGCTTTTTAGCTAATTTTTTATCTCTATCTTTTTTCTTTAATTTATTTTAAAAAAAATACATATCCAGCTGCATCTTTTTTTCCCTTTTCCTCTTTGGAGGATTACATTTAGAATTCTTAAATGAGTCACTTGTAATGATAAATAAGTCCATCTCGAACTCGTTTAGTTAGCGAGTCAATATGAGAATATGGTTGTTCATATAATTTTTTATAATTCAGTTTGTTATTACGACTTGAATTTGATTTTGACTCAAACTAGACTCGTTAATATTAATAAACAAATCGAGTTTAATCTCGTTGATCACTAAGCAAGTTGAACTCAGTTCGAACTCCTTCGTTTACGCCTCTCAAATAATTAGAGAATCTACATGAATTCATGATCTATAAAGAAAAATCATCCGAAATTGGAAATAACTTAACTGTCAGCAAGTACGAATAAATAAGAAGGTTGAAAATCTCATATCTACACGGACCAGATCTGCATTATCACTTTCATCCACTTTATCTCAACCAATAAAAATGAAAATGTTAACTCGAAACAAAAGCAATACTATCCATCATGATTATGTCCGAAATATATGAATTCCACACTGGCGAACCCAAAAATTGATTAGACCGGAAGGACGGCTTGACTATTTGATAAATAAAAGTTAAAATTTTCCAAAAAAAATAATTCCATCTATTATTGGAAATTTAATGGTTATTTTAATATAAAGTAATGTACTACAAAAAAATAATAATTAATTATAATGTGGTAGGGAGATAATAAATAATAATTGATGGTTATCAATATCTATTAATATGTAAAGAGACAATGATATTTATTTGAAATAGCAACTAAAAATCAGCAAAAAAAAAATATTTAGTTTTTCGCCTAAAATATTTACTATATTGAGCAATATCTTTGACAAAAATTTGAAAAATCACGTCTAAATTAATGTAAATAATCATTTTGGTCAAATATTCTGATCATTATTTTTATTAGTTGCATGATTTAAATTTAGAATATAATATATTGACAAAACTTGCAGCTACTACTTTTATTGGTTGCATGGTTTAAATTTGGTATATAATATATTAAATTTTATTTAAAATTTTAAAAAATGTCATAATTTTAAAAAACAACATAAATAATAATAATAATAATAATAATAATAATAATAATAATAATAATAATAATAATAATAATAATACATTCTATAATATAAATATCACATTTTGGTAAGAGAAAAAGTGACATGTCCACCTGCTGGTTGGGCCTCACAATAATGGTGTGTTCGAAATTCGAATAACCAAATGATCCGAAGCTTTACTCTGAATACAAGAATTAAATTAACCTGACCCCAACCTGGTAGGACCGCACTTTTTCTTTTCTTTTAGTTTTCCTTCTCCGGCCTTTTGCAATAATACTATATGCTCGTGGTAGTTGTTGTCGTGTTTTGCGCTTGTGTTGCGGGGCAAATTCCTATAAATACGGCACAAACACTTTGTTCTTATTCAAGTAACTCAAACTTCTCAAACGAGAAACACAGCACAAACACTCTTCTTTTTAGCAACAAAATAGTATCTAAATTCTTATTCTTACCAATTAAAAGCTGGTAGCAAATTAGACACCAAACCCATGGCAGGTGGAGTAATGATAAAAAACGACGGCAAGGAGTACGCCGGCAAAATCACTTGGTTCGTGCTGCTTTCTTGCATGATTGCAGCTTCGGGTGGCATTATTTTCGGCTACGATGTTGGAGTCTCAGGTTCGTTAACATATATAATTTGTATATACTATGCTTTGATATGTTGAACTATATATATAAACATGTTAATTACATGTTTTTGGTGTATATGAAGGTGGAGTGAGCTCGATGGAGCCGTTCTTGAAGAAATTCTTCCCGGGCGTCTACAAGAAGATGAAAGAAGACACGAAAATAAGCAACTACTGCAAATTCGACAGCCAGCTCCTGACGACCTTCACGTCCTCCCTTTACATAGCCGGCCTCATCTCATCATTCTTCGCCGCCCCTATCACTCGGGACTTCGGCCGAAGGCCTTCCATCATTATAGGCGGCCTTTCTTACATGGTCGGTGCAATCCTCGGCGGCTTGTCCCTTAACATTTACATGCTCATAATCGGGCGCGTCTTACTTGGTATCGGTCTCGGTTTTACCAATCAGGTAATTATTTAGACTATGTTTCGTAAACTTAACTGATAAGCTAGCTTATAGCTTTTTAAGTTATAGATAATAGCTTATGACTTAAGACTGAAAAATTATCTTATAATATAAAAATATTTAGTGAAATTAATTGATAAACTAGTTGGAATAAAAATTTCAATGGACTTATTTGAAAAGCTATTCAACAAAACTTAAATAAAAAGCTATTCAACAAAACTTAAATAAGCTCAAACTTTTTAAAAAAGCTGATCAAACCAAATGAAGATTATTTGAATACAGAAATCTTATAAGCTAGCTTATTTGGTTACGAAACATATCTTTACTCGCAGCATTTATTCGATCCAAAAACCATAACCTTCACTAACGAACTCGTTCTCCTCAGTCGGTCCCTTTGTATTTGTCGGAAATGGCTCCCTCCCGATACAGGGGAGCCTTCAATGTGGCGTTCCAAATCTGCGTGAGCATCGGCTACAACTCGGCCACGCTAATTAACTACGGTACGGTCCGAATCGCCGGCGGCTGGGGCTGGCGGATTTCCATCGCCATGGCCGGAGTTCCGGCCGCTGTCCTCGCCTTCGGCGCCGTATTCCTCCCAGAGACCCCCAACAGCCTCGTCCAAAACGACGCTGACCACAGCAAGGTGAAAGACGTGCTCCGAAGAATCCGAGGCACGGACGACGTGCAGGACGAGCTCAACGACCTGATCGAAGCCAGCCGAGCCTCGAAAGCAATCGAGCACCCCTTTCGAAACCTGATGCAGAGGAAGTACCGACCGCAGCTGATTATGTCCGTACTCATCCCGTTTTTCCAGCAGATAACCGGGATCAATGTCATCGCCTTCTACGCTCCGATTCTGTTTTTGACGATCGGGACCGGGGAGAATGCGTCCCTGCTGGCGGCGACCGTGACAGGTGTCGTCTCGTCGACGTTCACAATCATAACCGTGATTTTGGTCGATAGGATCGGGAGGAGGCCGCTGTTTCACTTTGGCGGTGTTCAGATGTTGATTTCGCAATTGCTCGTCGGGGGAATAATGGCGGCGAAGCTCGGGGATCACGGGGGGATGGAGAAAGGGTACGCGCTGGCGGTGCTGACGTTGATATGCGTGTTTATGTCCGGTTTCGGGCTGTCGTGGGGCCCGTTGGGGTGGGTGGTGACGAGCGAGATATTCCCGTTGGAGATAAGGTCGGCGGCGCAGAGCATAGTGGTGGCGGTGAACCTGACGATGACGTTTCTGATAGCGCAGGTGTTTCTGGCGATGCTCTGCCACTTTAAATCGGCGATTTTTTTCTTTTTTGCGGCGTGGGTGATGGTGATGGGGGTGTTTGTGTACTTTCTACTGCCGGAGACGAAGGGGATACCGATCGAGAGGATGGAGGTTGTGTGGAGGGAACATTTCTTCTGGAAGAGGGTGATCGGGAGCGGCCAGATGAAGGTTGAGGCCGCCGCATGACGAACAAGAAGAAGAAGAAGAAGAAAGGATTAATCTGGTGAATCTAATGAAATTTTAGTAGAAAAATAATGAGTAAGTTATGTTCTGCATATGCTTTGTAGCGAGGNGGTTGGTTGCATAATGTCCCTGGATTAGGGAGGGAATGATCTGTGTGACTGTGTTCAATCAGGAATGTTTTGTTATTATTGAATGCAGTTTGAAATTGTTTTCCTCAATTTGCAGAATTATGTGCAAGCTGGAGAAGTGAAATATACTGTGTGGAACAAACAATTGATTTTCATATATGTTTTGCATATGCTCTTACTTTTCTTTGCTCTATATAGTTTAGTTGTTCTTAATTTTTTATTATATATAAAGGTATATAATCAGAAACTAAAACGTTGCTCATGAAAGGTGAAATATGAATTCCTTCTAATGTTTGAGAAATGGGTGCGGTCCCATAACAAGGTGAGTCTAGGTGCATCTTTAAGTGAGACCTCATCCTAAAATCTTATAAAAACAATGCGGGACAACTCAAAAGTGATTTTCTATTACGCTTGCCTCTCTTGTGAGTCTTCATTCCAAGCCCATAAAGCAGGTCGGACACCATAAAAGAGTGAGTTTAGGTGCACCTTAGTGAGGTTTTCATTCAAAAAAATCTATAAAAACAATGTGGGACAACTCACAAGTGATATTCTAATACGTCTCTCAATTGTGAGTCTTTCATACGAAGCTCAAGCCCACAAAGCAGGCCGGGTAAAGAGATTTTAATACGCCCCCTCACTTGTGAGTCTTTCATTGTTTTTAAATNTTCTGAAGCAAATAGAGATATGTTGTGTGAGGAGCAAATATTGTTATTTACAGACGAGGAGCAAAAAAAACTAACAAATATTTAGTATTGTATACAAGAAAAAAAATAAAAAATAAAAAAAAAAATAAATAAATAAAACTAGCAGACAATTAACAAATATTTAGTATTGTATACAAGGAAGTTATTAATTCTCTTCGGACAATTAAACTTCAGTATTGTTTAGTATTTAGTATATATAATCAAATTAACTTCTTCATACATGTGCATTAGAGGTATTAAACGAAACGAGCTCTTTGTGGACTCGGCTCGACTTGATTGGTTAAGGCTCGAGGTCGAGCTCGATTAGACAATAAACTCGGCTCGGTAAACCTAAAAATAATCTTTTTTATAAAATTTTCTATAACTAAATTTGTTGTGACTCGAGTTCGATTTATTAATTAAGACTGGAGTATCATAAATTGGCTTCACTTGCTTACAATTTGAATTGTGCACCGACAACACTATCATTAAAAATCTACAATTCTTCGGTGCCTTAATCTGCAAGCAGAAACGAAGATTCTAAACTTATCCTTTTTTGTTTCTTTCAAAAATTCGAGTTTTAACCTTTTTTTTTTTCCTTTTACTTCGAAAATTGGTGTAATGACCTATCACTCTATCAGTTATCATCAATGAATGAGAAGCAAAGGAATCCAGACTTTATTTTACAGCACGTACAGAATCGATCAGACGGCAACTAAAAAATCAGAAAGGTGTAACATTGCCTTTACTTAGTTTTCTAATGAAAAAATATCTGGTTAGTAGGATTAGTTGTGACAGCATATGTTCAATTCACAACTATTTAAATTTGAAGCTTTCAGAATCGAATATCTTTAAGGATCGAAAGTGCAAGTTGATATTTTTTTTTTGGTACAATGAACCTTCCGGTTTTCGAATCTCCTAGGGGACCGACTAATCCGGAATCGAGCCGGGTAGGACCACAAGAACGGCAAACCTCTACCTCAAGAGTTTTAATACAGCTGCATTCCCAGGGCTCGAACTCGAGACCTCTGGTTAAGCTGAGAGAGACCCCAACCATCTCACCCACGTGCTCTTGGGTAAAGTGCAAGTTGATATTTAATTGAGGACAAATGACATGATATAATTTTNAGAGTAGTTATGGTTACAAAGGAAATTGATTAAATTTTGTTCTCCATAGCAATTCAATCTCATGCATTAAATTTTATTCTCCATAGCAATTACTTGATTAAAATCAATTTTAAAAATTATTTTCTTAATTCATATTTTTTTTTTCATAAACTAAATTATGATTTATTTTTATTTTTTCTATATTGTTATCTTTTTAAAGTATTTTTCTTTGTGCAAACACACAGGTTGATTACTAGTCTTTTTAAAAGTTACATAGCCATTTAATGATATTACCACCTAATTATTATAACATCTGTGGGAGCACTACACATAGGGTATGGTCGAATTTGTTGGAAAATCACATAGTACGGACAATCATTCCACACGGAGAACTATTTTATAAATTGTTACCAAAATATATATCACAAGCATCCATTATTATAAACAGTGAGACTGCTGTTGGGTACGCTAACACATAGACAATTATGTTTTTACTTTAACTGAAATAACATAATTTAAAATTAATATAAATAAAACATGACATTTGATAGTATAAATATATTTTTTTATTAAAAAATATCATCGATTGACCCATCTAATAATTAGGCAGTTTCATACCAAAATTTGTTCATAATATTTTCTAAAATCTATGTAGTGTTAATTCATAATTTGGTTAAGTCGCCTAATAAATCAATCAGTATAATTGAATGCATAGTGGACTCTTTCGTTATGTAACTTCAATAACGGGTGTTTGTTCTATTCTTCTTCCACGTCTAACTGTTTGAAAAGAACAAGAAGAGGAAAAAAACAACAGTTTTTAGCTTCGATAAAGTAGCAATTTATATATTTAAAATATTGATAAAGTTCCAAATTTATATATTTTATGCGTAATGTATGTATCGACTTTAATTCTCTGTTCATACTTCATATATTTTACTCTTTGAAAAAAAAAAACTGAAACAAATAATTGATTAAACATTTGATGTTCTATACATATATTAATTGTTATCAAATTTATTTCTTACATATATTTTACTCTTTTATAAAAGAATCCTGAAACAAATAATTAATTGACTAAACATATGATGTTCCATATATATTGTTTTCATATATAATTTTTTTTTTTGGTGCATTCCCATATATAATTTTAATTTGGTTTATGTCTTTCTCACGAACATCGCATTTTTAAGATGAAATTAATATCATTGCCAAGTAGCTAAGCACTATTTCATTCAAGTTACATACGTGGAAGTAAAGAAGACGGTTAGAAAATAAAATTGTCCCAAACAACAATATTTCATTTTTTTTTATTTTTTTATTTTTTTTGGTGGTTTCAACGCATATTGAGGAATTGTATCCGTAATCAATAATGTCCAAAAGTAGAATTCTCATAAAATATCACTACTTTTGATATTTATTTTCAAGCAGTGACATTTTTTAATAAAAATAAATATTTATACTATAAAATATCATATTTTTAATTATTTATTTTTACAATTATAACATTTAAATGTACATAAATTTATTAAAAAGATATAATTATTTAATCCTGACATCTTGATATCAATATACATGGTCAAGAAGTTTAACATTCTCAATCGCTATTCACCGCCCCTTTTACTAGTCACCGCCCCCCCCAATTACTCTTTTGCCCTTAACCCTTTTTTTGATTTCATCTCTCTAAACTTTCTATCTCTCTAAACTTCCGAACTTCAACGAACGATTCGAGCGTCAAAAAAAATCCAAAAAAATGTCGAAAAAATTCTACGGCCTCGGCAAAGGATTCTTCTCCAACAAGGTAATTTTTTTTTTTTTTTTTTGGCCGGAAGTATTTTTAAAAAATTTTTTTTTGAACCTGCCGAACCGGCCGGCCGTCGGTTCCGGCCGGTCCGGGTCCGTCCGGCCGTCGGTTCCGGACGGACCAAAGGTTGTCCGGTCGGCCGAACCGGCCGGCTTTTGGTCCGTCCGGAACCGACGGCCGGACGGACCCCGGCCGGTCGCGAGCCGGCCGGACAAAAATCAATTTTTTTTTTTTTTTTTTTTTTTTTTTTTTTATAATGACAATAAATAAATAAAAAAATAATTATAATTATTATAAATTTTAAATTATAATATTAAATAAAAAGAAAAAAAAATTATAATTATTATAAATTATAAATTATAAATAATAATAATAAAAATAATAATAATTATAAATATTATAAATTATAAAAATTAATAATAATAATAATTATAATTACTATTATTTGTAAATCATAATTATAATAATAAATCATTATAATAATTATAATTAATTATAAATTTGAAAAATAATATTAATAATTATAAATTATATATGCTTATAATAATACTATTATAAGAAATAATAATTATTATTTGTAATGATAATTATAATTAAATATAATAATGATTATAAATTAATGTTAATTATAATAATTGAAGTAAAAAATTATAATTATATGAAAAGAAAACAATTATAATTATAATAATAATTAATAAAATTTATATATGAAAAGAAAATAGAATTATAATCTATTTGAATAGTTATTAGAATAATCATTACATTGGAAAAATCTAATAATTATATTTCTGATTCAGGGTGTTGGCAGACCTGGACAATCTAATGCCAGGGACGACGACGAGGCGTACGATGATTATTATGATGGTTCTGGCACCCGACACACTAGAACTCGGGGTGTCAATGCGTCCGTTCGTCGGGAGAGGGACGCGGAAAGGCAGGCGTTAATCGATGAGGCTCGTAGGGTACAGCTTCGTCAGGCGAGCCAGAGTTCCCGCCCCCCCGCACCAGTGCCCACTGGTCCATATCATTTTGAGGGCCAGCCAAGTAGTTCGCGACCCCACGGAGCCATCCCGTACGGCGAACATGGATTCTATTTTCCTGGCCAGGCGGGCAGGACGATGCCCCCGGCACCAGTACCGTACGATCAGCCGGGATTTGCTTTTCCCCGCTTCGCAGGGAAGTCGTTACCCCCCCGCGCACGCGTACCATTACCTTATGGTCAGCAGGGGTATGCTGATGATGAGTCGTACGGCGAGAGGGAGCCGGGTCCAGAGGACTATGA